TCAAACAAACACACACACTTTCAGCAAATTCAGCATTTAACCAAGTCCTCCTTTTATCCTCTCCTTTCCCCCATACACCACACCCCTTCCCCAACTAATTTCCATATTAGCTCAGTACATATTACCCTTCATCTTGACTTTTGAGTTGATAACCCTGGGTCGAATCCCCAACAGGCTGTTCTCGACTCTAGATTATTTTACAGGCTGTCTAAGGTTCTCTATGTATGCACCCAACTCTGACCTCTTATGGTGGTAGATGTAAAAATCGGAGAACTTGAGGGATGAATGAATAATTTTACAGTGTTGAAATGAAAATTAAAACCACAGTATCGATTCTGATATGAAAGCCTATCCAGTTTCAAATGACAAATCAAGACCTTTACTCTTAATATTGCACAGACTAAAGTGAAAACATCAGTTCATCATACAAAACCCCTCACACACAGGCCTCTTAGGAATTCAACGCAAGATAGTGAACAACAGCCAAGATAAGACACAACCGACTTTCTATCTCCCAACCCCTTTACTTCCCTCAAAAAGCTGGTCAGGGAAATAGTTGACGTCACATGAAGAAGATGAAAAGCATCAATCTAAAATACCTCAGCACCTGAGAACAATTTTCAATTTGAAAGATTTTTTCCCCCTCTAAGTTTTTGACAGAAAAGTTGTAGTGCGTGAGAGGCAAAGTGAGGACAACCACAATCAATTTCACCATGACAACATTCACCCGGACATCCTACATCATATTATTCTTATAAAATTCTGTCACGAACCAAACGCTGTTATAAAATAAACGACTTCGTGCATGTTTCAATGAGACACCTGCGGATCCAAAATGCTTAAATGAAGTTATGCCCCTCCAGCACACACACCCCCACCCAAAATTGTGCAATAAAATCATCCAAACTATAGCCCATTCTCGAAGTAGAAATTTCAACATTTGACTGCACCCCCCCCCCAATAAAAAACCACTGGCAGAGGAAGAAAGAAAAACAGTGTGTTCTTAATATTTTTAAACACAATTTGGTGCCGGTCCATGTTATGGTCAACTGCAATATTCCTGTTCTACTTTACCGTCTTCTAGTCTACTACCATCCACAGTTTACTAAAGATTTTCCCTAGTTGCGTAAAGGGTGTAGGAGTGATAAAATTACCCTGTGCAGGCCTTGCAATATGGAAGAATGCATTATCGGGGTAGACTGTGGTCATTCAGACGGACTTCCAGTAAACTCAAAATGGACCAGTGCCAAAACTTTTCTATCACGAAATTCCCATACTACGACTTTGAAATTCACGAAGAACAGAAACAAACATCCAAAACAAACACACATTGACATCTTACCTCATACAAAGTCTGGTGATGATGGTGACCAGCGCTGCCTCCTTCATTGAATGTTGTGTTTCTTTTCGTGTCATGACTTACATCCTCATCATCATCTTCATCATCAAGAGAGTCACCGGTACTCTGTCAGATGAAGGAAGTTCAATGAAGTTTGTGAACAAAAGGCCACTTTCATACACACGTGACAATATAATTGAAAGAAATGAGAATACAAAATGTGCACAATCACCATGAATAACACACAGCTGTCTGCACTTCAGAACGACTCAAATGATCATGTACAAAACAAAGCCAGTCTTGCAAACAGCCGGTTTGATATATTTACAAAAAAATTAAAAAATCCCGGTGGTGAGCTATTGATGACTTCCCTTTTTAAAATATCAATATAAACACCATAAATATTCTAAGGGAGGGGTCTCCCAGCCAGAAGACAGAAGAAGTATTAGAAGACTCTATTCAACTACTGACATTATTTTCTAAACCTTTTTGTAATATCATATGCAAGGAATACAACATGATAGAAAATTGTACTGGTTGGGACTGTACACACTGCCTGTCAGATTTAAAAATAAACTAAACGGGGGCAAAGACTTCTCCCCACAACCTCAAAAAAATGTTGGTATTACAGCAGAACCCTGACGTAACCATTTTTACAGTGAACAGAGAATTTCTCCATGTTGAGCAAATTTTGTGTTACATGGAATGCAATGTGGAGTAAAGAGGGAAAAACCTGTGGAATTTGAAATCCTTACATGTACGGTAACTAAGGCTTTGTGTACAAACGGCTTTAAGTAACCATTGATGGAGTTACTTGCTTGAACAAGGGGCCCGATGAAAAGTAGGAAAGCTAGTCACATATGGTTGCTTTTTAAGCAAAAGGGGGCTATCCCGTAAAATGTTTTGAGAAAATTGAAGGCAAAGTTTTTGCCCCTTGTTCAGTTTCTTTAAAACAAGACAAGGAGAGTTTTCTCTATAACCAAACAAATATTATAAAACACACCAATGAAACCAAACTTCTCCTATAGGTAGAGGGCAATGCCCACTTTTGGTGAAGGTTATAAAAGATTGGTCCTTAAAAGTGACCATGTGTGTAAAAATCAGTAGCACTGCAGCACAGGTAGAAGAACCAGCATTCGACTACCCCTGAGATCTAAGAGGGGTACACAAAGAAGAATCTGAAGAGGAGGAAAGAAGAATCTGAAGAAGAATCTGAGGAAGAGATTCTAATCTGCTCGAAGAAGAAGAATCTGAAGGATGAGGAGGAGGAGGAGGAGGAGGATGAGGAGAACCTGTGTGTGAAAACAGTCAGCAAATCTTCTAACAAACACTTCAAGACCTAGAGAAACCATTTTTGGTTCCACTGCACTCATCATAACCTGAAAAGGTAGCAGTAACTAGAACTTTATGTAAGATATGATGTGTAAAAAAAATCCCCTCTAAACTACTAAGGAAACTTACCTCAGTAGACGGCATGCAGTGAACAACACCAGTGCTTCTTCTCTTCTCTCTCAATTTGCGTTTGTCTTTTGGCAGTTTTCCCTTCATGTGGTTAGCTCTGCTTCGTTTGTCCTTTAGTCGAGCTGCTGCTCCTCTAGTCGGAGATTCATGATCACCCGGGAGGTGACTATGTGATGACAAACCAAGACCCCCTCCTCCCCCATCTCCCACGTCTCCGTTGTGGTGGTCTCCTCCTCGACCTTCTCTGTCTTGATCAACACCATCACCCCGATCTGGCAGTGTTCGGTACGGAAGAGAACCACGCCCACTGTGACCTCTATGAACTCGAATTCGATTTCGACGAGCTGTATTGTCAAAATCATCCATGTCCAAGCTCTCTTGGCTCACTGAGCTTGATGCCATTTTCACAGTCTTTTGGGTAAAATCTGAATGCTGAGGAAATCAGAACCCACATTCATCAGGCTATGCCTACATTTTTAAAATCTTCAATCTCTATAAAAGATACACAGATTCTAATTTGGCTCTCACTGATTTAACAAAATAGGAAATCCTGTTCTCTTAAAAAAAACAATAGTTTACTCATCCACAGACTCTTGGCCTATTTTGTGTGTGTGTGTTTTATCAAGCCAAATTTTTGGTCCTACTTTTATGCTAGATCTAGATCTAGATCTACTTCTTTTAAAAAAAAGAATTTCTAAATAAAGAAAATAAATATAATAGAGAGGGCATGTACGTCTCTTCTAAATGTTATATATAGAGATATAGCGCTATATGAATATTAGCCTAAGATTGATTCTGTTAGCAACACAGTTAAAAATGAGTCTAGATCTAGATCAACAGACTGACGAGTTATGGGGATAACAAACAATTTTTGTTCTTTCAATTTAGGCTTAGATTCTAGATTCTAGATCTAGATCTAGAAATCTAGATCTAGATTAAGAACAGCCTAAAACCTAAACAGAAAAAAAATCAGTCTTTTCAGTCAGGGTCTTGCCTTCTTATTTTACGACAATGACAATAGGTTTTAGTGATGATGCTCTGAGTCTGATTCGAGGTTTACAAAGACAAAGATAGACAAAATCCCCCTGGCCAAGATTATCTTTTGTTCTATTTAGATTCTAGATCTAGAGTCTAGATCTAGATCAATAATTAATGAATGCCAACAATAATGGTTCACAAATAGGCCTAGTATCAGTTTCAGCTGACTGTTTTAGTATTCCTCACCTCAAACTCAAAGGGAAGAAATCGCTTCAGTATTCAGTCAGTTATTTTGGTGTACTACTTGACATTCCATTCAGATCAGAATAATCACTTTGTGTAAATATAGATTCTAGATCTAACTCTGTAGGGCCTACTATCCAGAGATGTTTGAAAAAATCTTCGTCCGGCTGTAACTGTAACTCTGTAAGATAATTATAACACAACACAACAAATATTTCAAACTGCCGAAACGTACTAAAACTAAAAACCAAATTCACAGCATCAAGAATCCAATCTCCAGTCGACTGGGGTCACATCCGCCTGTGTAACGATCTGGTGTGTGCTCTATCGGGTTAGTGGGGGCGGTCATTTTGTCGATGCAGCACACAGCTCTTTTCAAAGTGCCAACACCTGCCTCCGCGCTTGGGAATGTTCGCAAAGTCGACCCGACTTTGAACTGTCGCCGTCAACACTTTTCACTGGTTTCGCAGACCGTCCACTGCATCTAAATTTTCAAGAAAATAAACGCACAAAATATCAGTCCAGTACTTCGAGAACAATTGGCCTGAACGCCGGCCCAGATATCTGTTCAAATCATATCTGTGTGATAATGCATCCTGTCGTCGATTTTGTCGTCGCTTGACTCGTCTTTGAAGTGCAGGCGGCACTTCTTTGAAATCACAATACAAACATGTCAAGAGACGTGTATTGAAAGTTCATGGCCTCGTTTTCAAATCTTTGCCTTCATTCATGACATCAGCGCATTACGTCATAGCGCACAGTCTGCATTCTTCATGTAAAAGAATTTCAAGCACGCCATACAGGTGTTACAGCATGCACTGCCCCTACTTTTGTTTATGGAGTATAACACAGAAAAGACATCGACTCAGTGTTCATATAGACACAATGAGGACGGCTTTTCCACCCTCCCGATATTGATAACAATAGCCCTCGCACTCACCCTTGTTTTATGATGTGGAAGTTAACCCTTCTGATCAAAAACCCATCCCAGCTAAGAGAAGGTGCGCGCGGTGTCTCAAAATCCCCAATAAGATGGGTTTATTTTAGATACTGATTTGTTAAGACAGACTATAGAATCTAGATTTGTCAAAATGGCAATGACATTTTTCCGTCGTACCGATTGCGTTATTAATTTTTTTTCAAGTTATAGCTTCCATTGTGGATTTCAAAAACTTGCAAGAATACAGGCCTACTACATTAATCTATGTTTAAAATAAATAAAATGATGTACGTATACATTTAGGTCACGGCCCCCACACCTCAACAACAGCAATAGCATTGACCCACTTTCTCAAGCTTCCCTATCTTGCATACCATCTCCAAACTCCAAATTCTCCATTCGCTTCTCTTCATTTTCGTCTAACTTTTATTCACTTTGAATTAAATGAACATCATTAGTAACAATTACAATTAGTCTAAATTTCATACCTTTACTAGATCATTATATCCCTACAATGAGGATATCTATATACAATCACTAAAAGAAAAACGACCAAACAAGCAACCTCTCCTCCCCTACTTCATAAGCAGCAGGATTATGAGAGCCAAACGAGATTAAAGATCCAATAAGATCCCCCCCCCCATTCCCCCCCAGATAATTCTAAAAAAAAGACTGCCTAAACTAAAATTAGCCTCCAACAATTAAATTAACTAATACACCGCGTCGTATTTAACATTTTTTAAAGGAGGTTTTAACGGAGAAATTTTTGAAGTTTGGAAACAACAACGAATTACCGATTATTACTAGGCCTAAATATTTTTTAAAATCCACACTGTTAACTCGATAAGGGCGTTTTCCCCTTGTCTCTATAGAAAGACGTTGTTCGTGCTCCAAAAGTAGCCTACAACTTCAAATCAAAGGGGTTAATAATAAATTTGTGGGAGTTTGAATTGCCTCCCTCTAGTTCCTCTCTCGTGAGCGAAAATTAACAGTGGGCTCGCTTCCGGTGACAAATCAGTTAGTTCCGTCTCTGTGTTGACAAACTATGAGTTGAATGACCGATGTTCAACTGTTTTGTGATCAGCAGTTAAAATTAAAAAAATATTATTTGATTATTTTACTCGTAGATTTTACTCTGGAATGAGTGGTGAGTTGACTGACTACGTATGAGTGGGATTGTTCGACAAGACACCATACCAAACTATTTATAGACTAACGACAATTCTGATGTTCGTACTCCCACCCATAATTCATAATAATCGTTGAATTCATGTTCCATTGTCATTGTTGTTATAATGATTAGATCTATTCTAGATTTAGATCTAGATATCAAGAATCTAGATGTAGATCTAGAATCTAGATCTAGGCCTATTATTATCCCATCTGATTTCAACTAAGACCAATTTCTTCTCATTGTTTGTCCTAGCTGTCGTAAGACATGAAACAACCACCTCTTTTAATCCTTGGCTTGTTCTACCTGAAAAATTGTTTAGGCTATCTACTCTTTCTCTTGCTGTTACTGTTGTTGGTGGTTTTAGGTTGCTGGTGTTGTAACTGTGGGCTGTAGATTAACCCTAAAACCAATCATGTAAGTTTGTGAGCTGGTGGCAGTGGCTTGTCACGGCCAGTGTATGAGTTATTTTCAGTTGTATGCCATTCTTTTGTTGTAGAATTGTTACCCTGAGCATTCAATGTCATGGGCTGTTAGAGTTGGACTTCCTTCCTCAGGACTATAACTACAGGCCTACTGTGCCTAAGTTACACAGACACAGAGCTTCTTTTTGTATTTATGAAGTGGCTATGCGTACGTCCGTCCCGTACGCATAACATCGAGGCTATGTGTACGGCCCTCCACTTCACATAAAAGCTAGTCTTTGAAAGTGGCACATATATAAACTATCAAACCAGACACTACAAGAAGACAAACTTAAACCCTGGAAGCGCGCAGGCCCTTTATAGTGATGACCGACTTCGATTGGTGCGCAGCTATAAAGGGCTATAGACGTGACCTTTTTTCAATGGAAAATTTCAGCATTCCTTATTATATATATTGAAAATGACATAGATATTACAGGTCGATGTTATAAATAGTGACCAATGACTTTGCAAGTTGTCTTGACCTCGTAGAGCAAGGATCGTACATTATAACAAAATAGTTCACTCAGCCAAAAAAGTGTCAGCGGAAGTCTGCACATTGGTTCAGATGACGCTGCAGTCTTTGTTTTGAAGCTTTCTTTCGTTTCACCAGCCCAGTTTGTTCGTTTCACTTTTATTATATTTTCACCCAAGAAGGGTAACTCTGATCGCAAAGTCTGCACTTTTTCGGAGAGGGCGCCACCGAATATTGAGGACACTTTTTAAAAATTGGCTCAGTTATAGAGGGGTGAACTATCTTGTTATACATGATCTTTGTCTTGGCCAAGATATCGATCGATAAAGTGACGCTGTCCAGCTGAGCGATTATCAAGGCCGTGAGCTTACTTCTATCTAAATCTAAGGGCCGTACAGGAGGGAGGGCTGTACGCTTGAGGGCCGTATGCATAGCTACAGGCTTGTATTTAAACTAGATTTAGATCTAAATGTTTAAATATTTAAAATATTTAATAATGATTTGGGATTTAGGTTTAGAGTTTAGATGTCTAAACCAGGAAGAAGCTGCTCCATCCTATGGACTAGATCTAATCTAGTGAGCTGGACTGGACACTGTCTCAGCTCAGAAATGATAGATTTAGGGGTCCCGTATAAAGGGAAAGAGCTGTGTCTAGCAGATGATGGTTATCAGAAATGATAGATTTAGGGGTATAAAGGGAAAGAGCTGTGTCTAGCAGATGATGGTTACTGGTGGTGAGATATTAGAGATCATCATAATACTGTTAGTATCTGAATTTATAATCTCTCTTAATTAATTTCAATAGATATCAACGACTTGCTTTTTTTTTCATTTTCAGAGAGTGTATGAACATGGCAAGCACTGGTTCCAGTAAATTCCTGGCTGCTGGTGAGTAGTAGTTACATGAAGTGAAGCTATGGACATACAGAGCACCTAGCACACCTCTTTGATTGTCCCAGATATAGATAACTTAATTCTGCAATCTATTTTTGTCGTCTTCCGGGGCTTCCCTCGTGAGTTGACCTCAAGTTGTTTTTATTGTTGTTATTTTGTTGATTTTTTAAAATGGGAACTTTTGTACTATTGTCTCTTCTTTTTGTTCAGTCACTAATCTGTGACCTTGTAACATTGTCATTTTTCATCTTCAATAGGTCATAACATCGGAAGAACTTCCGTAACTAGCGACCACCCCAACAAACACAATATAGAATAAACCCTAACCCTGGCCCAATCCCTTACCCCTACCCTAACCCTTCCCCTACCCCAAATCTTAACCATACCCCTACCCCAAACCCTGCCACTACCCCTAACCCTACCCCAAACCCTAACCCTCTATTCTAATTTGTTTCATAGTGGTCGCTAGTTTTGGAATTCGCCCCATAACATCCCACTGAACAAATTTTTTTTCGACCTCATCCTTCATGATATCAGAGTTTATCGGTATAACTGATACATATTGATAATGCATCTATAATTATATTAACTGAATTAAATTACAGACGATTTGGTAATAGTAGTTTACAACACGCTGCTTTTCTATTTTTTGTAACGTTGTCACCGGCATTCCGATGAATAATAATAAAGGGTGATAGATCTAGTCGACTCGTGAGGGAAACCCTGGAAGATGACAAAAATAGATAATGGAAATATGTCATATATGGGCCAATCACAGAGGTGTGCTTGGTGCTCTCTATAGCTTCATGTGTATTAGTTGTTCTCATTTTGAGTGTCTAGGCTTGCTGTGTGTAATTTTGTGTCATGAGCCTCACATTTTTGTGGTAAGAAATGTAGACTCTCTTGTCTGTAAAGGGTTAACAAATAGACTGACTGCTCAAGCAAGAGGTGCAACTCTTTAAGTTAGTTTCATAGTGGATTAAGCCATGGATGAGTATAGTATGCTGAGTTACAACCTGTATGATATTGCTTGCTTTCATTCTATCTAGTCTTTAAATTCCTTATTGTTGACCCTTGCTTTTGAACCTTGGCCTTTGAATTGGACAGCTGATATCAAGTAAGACATTGCATTCATGAAAGAAAGGGCAAAGTAAAACTGCAAAAAGTATCCACTGGCATCTGTAGAAAAATTAGGAACAAAAGTATTCTGGCAATTTTAATCTGATGGAGTAGAGCCCATGCCTCCTGTAGCGTGAATGTTGAAGTATAATCATTCTGTGTTGTGTCATTACATCTCTACTTATATGTGTTATGTGTGTACAGTTTTGTTGACTAAAGGAAGCAAAATGTCATAGGAGGAGTGTATTGAATTTGACCGCAAGTCTTATTTCGCACAGTCATGTTACTTTTCTGACTTTTCTGACTTTTCTGTTTTCTTTGCAGGTGACTCAAGGCCACGGAACCTGCAAGATCTGGACTTTACAAGCACGGATGAGCCTGAGTTAGAATTTGATGAGGATGGGACAGAGTTGTCTGCCACGAAAGAAGGTGACTATGAACAGATTTTTGTTTTGACTTGTACTTTGGAATTGATGGACTGTCCTGGGTTGAAGACCAGAGGGATTTCAGTGACCTAGAACAATGGGAAGCTCAGGACTGGTCTGAGATTTTAAACAATTCATTTGACTGATTTTAAACTTCCCTGTTACGAGGGGGAAAAAGTTAGTTTCTTGAAATAGTTAAAAAAAGATGAGTTAGCCTGTTGTGTTCTAATCCTTTAAGAATGTGGAAGAGATTGTGGGAGCGTTCAGTTATAGAGAAAAACATTTCCTTTTCATATTTTCTGTTTCAGTTTTTTCCATCTGTGTTCTACAAGCTTAGTCTTAGGCTCTTTTGATCTGTTTTGCTTCATACGTAAGAGTTGGCACTCATCTGACTTTTAATGCCAATTTGATCAAAATCTATTCCTTTTCTATAGATTAATTATTTTATGTTTTTTTTGTTTCTCTGAAGTTAAACTTCAGTTTTGTCAACAGATTTGCTTGAAACGTGTGCCATTATTTGACTTGCAGTTCTGTCTTGCAGTCTTGACTTGATCTTCTTTTTTCCATTGTGTAAAAACTGTTCTTTTATTTTGCCAATGCTCTCAGCGGAACTGGAGGCGGAGTTAGAAGAAGGTAAAGCAGAGAACATGCATAACAGTGCATAGTTGTGGGTGTTGGCTTTTACTACCTGTTCATTTTGTTCATGCCTTTAGATTTATTTCAAATTAACTTTTGACACTTCTGTACTGTAAGTTACACTTTGTTTGTTTTTTGTTTTTTTTACATCAGTGTGCCAATGATGTTCACAAAATCATTGCACATAAAAAAAAAAGTCTTTTTATTCTGAAATTTTCTGGTTTGTTCTTTATGTTGTACTTGTGTTGCTATATTGTTTTTCAGTCAACTTCTTGGGGACCATAGAGTCAAAAAATGTTCTATTTGCGGCAATATTGTTGTGCAAATAGAAGATTTTTCTGTGTGTTCCCATTTAGAATGCATGGCTTACCATTGTAGCGTTTTCTACTGTCATATTTATTATAATACTACGGAAGTGCAACTGTAAGCAATTACATGTATGTGATGCAAAGGGTTGTGGGTCGTTGGGTTTTATTTCTAGATGAAATGGGGCTGTAAAATGCGCTTTAAATAGAAAAATACAGTACAGTTTAAATTGTCCAAGACGCCCACCCATTGTTGAGGAGAAAAGTGGTAATCTTAAACGGGTGGACGTCTTGAACTGTGTTATTATGAATGATGTAGAAAAAAAGACATGGGGGAATTGGGAAATGGTTGTTTGTACAGGTGGTATTCTTGGACAGGTGGCAGTTGGAGCAGGCTGTACCATTCAAAGCTCTTAGCTTGCTGCTCTACTATGTCTTGGAGGGAGCTGAATTGCCTGCTTAACAGTGTCTTCTTACTTTCCAGTGTTACAGTTTTCGCAATCTTCTTCAATGAAATTAACCAATTATTGGGATGACCGACGTAACTCATATGTCTATTAACTCAGTAGCAGCAGCAGCAACAACAACAGTAACAACAACAACATCATCTCCCAGCAAGCATGAGTCAGACTTTTCTGCTTGTGCTCAAATTCTTTTGTGTAGATGCCTTTTAAGGATTTTTTGTTGTTGTTGCTTTTGTCATTTCTTTCGCTTGTAACTTATTAGTGCACATATGGTGGCGGAGCGTTTTGAGATAAAGGTACCCATATTCCCGTTATTCCTGAATGCTTACTCTCAACAAAGCATTTTATCCTCGATAGCTGTATGAAATGTTCCAATGTCAGTGTGACACAAACATTTTGGTATAGGTTTTCAAATGAACTTTTCTGTTGATTCTGTTGTATTGCCACTTATAAAGCATGTTTGTGGTAATAAGCCCAAAAAATAAAATTGTCTTCCGTGGTTTAAAAAAATAATATTGCAGGTCTGAGGGGCTCGGTTATAATGGTTGTAAAAAACTCTTATAAAGCAGTTCAAAGGCCTAAGCAAGTCTGATCTTATCTCTAGTCATATTTGTGCCAAAGTCTTCTCTTCAAGTCCACTCATTTCTCGACTTGGTGACTTAAGAAGGTTTGAAAGCTGGGATCTTATTGGTGGGGGCGCTGTACTTATATAAATACTTTGAATTATAAAAAACATACAGTCTATTTCTCCATTCAAACAAACATGTTAAACATGTCTTAAGCATATTTGACAGTTTGGGAAAAGGACATATCTATTTTTGTGATATAAGTGTATTTTTTGTGTATTTGTCTGCATGGGGATGTGCATGTGGATTTTTTTTGGTGAACAATGAATATTTATGTGTGTGTGTGTGTGAAAGTGATATATTGGCTGTGTCTGTGTATGCGTTTCAAGTTTCAACACTGCTCTGTTTTTCGGTTAGAGCAGGGTGTGGGGGAGGTGGGGGGAGGAGAGCCTGGTGTGATCTTCTCTTTCTATTTATTTCAATGTTATTCATATTCTAATCTGTTCCTGGGGGGGGGGGGGGGGGGCAACGTTACAGGGCGAACTTCCTGTAAACTTAAGTCTTCACTTTGTGTTTTTCAAAACGAAATTTTATGTTTGTCGATGGCATGGATGACTGATTTTAAATTTCGTTCTCTTCTTGTCTTGCGTTCCGCTCAACCAGTTTGCCAAATCTTTAACACTTGATGTCTATCATGTGTTTGTGTGCTTTTGTAAATTTTAATCAAATCACTTTTTTTGTCAGTCTTGGAATGCTTTCTATTTTTGATGGACTGCTGTAATTTTTTGAGTTGCTTTTTCAGAATCTGTTAACTACTATTCTATCAACAGAAGGCCTACAAACCTAATAGTGTTGATAGGGGAGTGAACCCATACACGATGTACAGAAGAACTATTTCTTCTTAAAATAAATGTTTTGTTTTTTCAGTGCACTTGCCATTTTGATGCCAAAAATTTTGCATGTATGCAGTGGATAACTTTTGAAAACTTTACGTGCGACTTCTGCAGTGACTGAAAAATTCAAGAGAAATCTTCTCCGACAATGGTTCAGTGGTAGTAAATATAAGTTAAAACGATTATCTAATTGTGATGGGGTTTCATTGTCTTGAGTCTCACATGCTTTTTTTTTTTTTGTGTGCAAGGAATCATTAACTTCAGCACGATTGTATTTTGGATTTATTTCTTCCTCTCAAAAGATTTGCATGAGTATTGATTGGTTTTGTGTTTTGATAATTTTTTGGAACAAAAGATAATGGTATACAGTTGAACCTGTTCTAACGGCCACTTGTCCAAGACAATCACCTGTACAAAGGGCCTCTTTCTACTACCACCATGCTTTAAAAAAATATTAAAATGACATTTTTCAAGAGGACCACATGTTCACTTTTCTCCTGACTGTAGGTTGTAGTCTTTTACGGGGTGCTCATTGGCACGATCGGTTCGGTTCAGTTTGGTAAGCGGGGCTAGCCAGACAGAGGGCACAAAGCGATCATCATGGCACAAACCAATCGCCTGACTTACAGCCTAAAGAACAAATACATTTGTTTTCAGGCCCCGAATCTGGGGATCGGTTTGTCAATCCCCCATGGGCACTGGGTATTAGACAGGTTCGACTGTATACATGCCTTTTTTCACTTTCAGTCTACGTACCCATTTATTTAAAACAATTCTTATTTAAATGTTTTGTTGCTCAAAATCAAAGATCCAGAATGTAGATGTAGCCAAAAATTGAGAAGCCTTTTCTGTTTTGATTACTCTTTTTTTACTCGTAGTATTTGGTAAATTAGTGAGTCTTTTAGCTTATATTTTGTTTGTTTGTTCTTACTTCTTTATGAAGCAAATGTATGTTTCACATTTGTTGTTTTCTGGCAGGAAGTTCATCTGACTACTGGAAATTTTCAGTATTGCTCAGAATTCTTAGCACCCATTAGTTATCTTGATGTCTCATGTTTTGTTTTATTGTTAGATGTACTTTTCTGTAACTCCACTGAGAGCCTAGCTGTGCACTTTGTTGTTCGTAAGAATACATCACATTTTGTTTACTTATTTGTTCATCTTATTAAGTTGTAGAGAGTAGAAGTAGAAGTTTGATAGATGTTCTTTTCTTTTGTTACTTATGTCATAAAGTGCTTATCTATGATTGGTTACGTTTGTTGTTTTGAAGGCCCGGCTGATTTCTGCAGCCCGTACGCTCACATTCCCTCACTGCCCTGGGATGTTGGTAAGAGAACGTGCTGGAGTATGCAGCTACTTACGTAACCCCCTTTACCAAGGGCATATCGCACACTGAGTTTTGGTGCATCTTTCTGGCTGGCTGATACTACAACTTATTAAGAGTGGTAGACACTTATCTGACACCCCCTACCCCCTACTCCACCCCCCCACCTCCGGTATTGTAGGGTCTGCATAATGGTGATGAGATTTCATTGAGTTAATGCCTTTTCTTTTGCACAGTGTGCATTAAATTTAATCTCCTGACATCAGACTGCATTTGTTTTTATGAATCTTAGTCCATACCAGTTCTCAAGGAAATGTTGGCTTCCAAGATATTAAAGTTAAGGTTGGAAACTCATGTGATATTTCATTTTGACCTCAATAATGAAGTAAGATTAATAATAATGATGGTAATATTGATAACTATGACAAAAGTAATAACAATAACAAAATTAGGATAATAGTGCTAAAAGCATCAGGATCAAGTAGGCACTCAAATCATTATTCCTTTCATCAAAGGAGCCTTGAGTAGGTCTGACTAAATGTGCTGTTCATTTTGTCTAAACAGTTCTGCAGAATGTAATATTTTGGTAGTTGCTATTAGCGAACGGTGCTTAATCAAGCAAAGGTCAAAGGTTGTTTTTTGTCAATTTCAGTTTGAGAAGTGTACTGTGGCCTGTCCGATTTCCCACCTCGACCCGATCATGCAGACCCGAGTAGTTGAATAACTGTCTACACTGTTTTAAAAAATCTTCTCTAATCTTGTCACATAGATCATTTGGATTGCCGTGCAAACTTAACTTTAGATATGCTGAGCATGTCATGATCTCTGAATGCATGTTCGGCACGAAGAGCTCTTACTGGTGTTACTTCTCTCTGGTGTATGATGCTTAAGCTGTGCATATTGAATTTATATCGGATGACACTCGAAATGATATTCTCTTCTTGTTGGTATAGACAATGAACGAATCTCCCTCCTATATTTGATGGGCTTAGGTTTACTTTTTGCTAAATTTTGGTAGAAGGGAATTTCTATTGCACAATAATATGTGCCGAAGACCAACCAGTTTTGTCTCTTGTCTTTTTGGAGAAATTTGAAGAAGTGAAACTTTTTTAAATCTCTGAAGGAGTGATCACTGATAAGATTCTTATTTTTTTAAAACATTTTCCCGTCAATGGAAAAATTTATTGATCTATATTAATTTCTATTTTGTTTTTTGAATTATATAAGGGAAGCTTTGAAATTTTGTCAGAAATCAGGATAGAGAGGAACTCTTTCACTTTTATATTTGCTTATGGTCAGTTGAATTGTATACTAGGGATTTTATAAACAAAAATGTGTTTTTCTCACCTCCCAAGAGTGTTGAAATTAAAATTATAACTAGTTAATTTGAGTGCAACTTCAACTGCTCTTTGGCACTATCTCAAAATGTTTTTCTTGGGTTTTGAAAGGGGACCTTTCATGTATGTGTGTCTGTTGACATTGCTGTAATAGAGGCGATTGGGTTGATAGAAACTGCAGGTTATTGGATGAGGGAATGAGATATTTGGCCATATTTTGTGGCAGAAAGGAAATGGGAACTGAATCACTTACACTTTTACAGAGATAGCACAAGCAACTGTTAGCTGTAAAGTTCATGCCAATAAGGGGAATGTTGTCTGTTTTGGAAATAGTTACAAGTACTCATAAATAGTAATGATACCTCCAGTATCATTTAAAACTCGTATCAAATTATATACTCCATGTAAGCTAGGCATGGTTTCATGCATGCGTCGTGTGCGTAAGTGATAGCTAACGGAATGTAGGATACCTAATACAATGTATGATAGCTCCTAGAATTTATATGACAACTAATGCATCTTATGATAGCTAACAGACTGTATGGGTTCTGGAAAGGACCTTGTCATCGTTCATATCGTGCATGGCCACATATATTTCAGTACAAGCCTGGTGGAATGAAGCAGTTTGCTCTGAGCACCCTCACAGATTTTTTTAATTCATAGTTTTTTTTCTTGTTGTGTCTGGATGTGTGCTGCAATGTGCGTGGGTGGTTGGCGGGTGCTGTGGTGTGGTTTGCTCCTTCTTAACTGCTGAAAATTCTATTGTCCTTATCTCTCTTCTTTCTTTTCTGTGTATGTTACTTTCTCTTAACACTTGTAATCGTCAGCACTTAATGACCATTTTGTGTTGCAAGTGCCAAAAAATTCTTACTAAAAAACTAAAACTGCAGTGTGCTACCGTAACCGTGGTTGTAAAGAATATTAATGGGTGGTGTCTAGCACTTTACGACCCGGTGGTGTAGAACTGGGGCTTCAGCTGTTTGATGCTGTTCCTTGAATAGCGATATATACGTGAAGGTCGTATTTGTTGTTCCAGTTGTGGGTGGTTGGAGGGTGTTGATGATAGGTTCAGCTTGGTCTGTATCCCTCTATTGTTCTCATTGGCTCTGTGTGTAATAGTAATCGAAGGGTGCCACTTGTAGGTCCTACTTCTTTACTTCCCTTCTTTTGTTCATATTTGACTTTTTCTCAGCGCTGATTCTATCAAGATTCTTCTCTGTACAAATGATGAAACCTGACGGTTGTAAATAATATTTTCATGTCAAATGTATCTCCTTAGGGTTTTTTACTGCTTAGGACTCCCTTTTGAAACAGTTCAGTCTGATACTGTGATTTATAAAGTTGCAGATCGCTATGCCATTGAGTGGAGCATGTGTGAGACATTTGAGTTGTTGATGATTTGAATGGATAGCTCGCCAAAAACAGCCTCAATTCAATTAATTGAACTCTACTTGTGCCACGGAAGGGATAAGTTTGACAATTTGTCATTGATGCTTTATTTGCACCTAAAATTGCGGCCCGTGAATATTTTTTTTTCAGTTGTTTTTCTAGAGAGAGTACGAGAGTGACTGCCTGGAGTGCAGAATACAATTTTCTTAAATTTTAATGACATTATTTCCAACTGTGTTTCTTATTTATTTCATGTGAATTTTTTGGTAGTGTTTGTCTTAACTGGATAGAGTGTGTTAGAATTAAAAGAGCATCAGAAAGGTGCAAATTCTTGTTCCACTGTCTACTAAACAAATATTCTCTTCTCTACCCATCTTATAGGTGTATGTTTGGAGCCTGTTGATGGTTGGTCCTATCTACTTCTTACCCTTTTCTCACATTTTGTAGCTGTAATCTCTGGACTTAAATAAATAATAGTCATTGATTAGTGTAACTTTCCTTAACGCCAGCATAATAATAACTGACAGTCTTTTGGTGTAGATAAATAATAGTCGTTGTTTAGTGTAACTTTCTTTAACATCGGCATACAATAACTCTGACAGTGTCTTTCGCTGTAGAATGAAACAAACTAATCTTTTCCCTCTTCTTCTGATGTACTGAATCATGCTATGGCCTCTGAATCTGAATGACATGACCGAAGTTTGCTCCCTGCCCCCTCCCCCCCCCCCCCTTCAATTATAAATGCAACTGTTGAGGGTTCCTTAAGTACTAATTGGTCTTTTAAGCATACATGCATTTTATTTTTTTCTGTGTTTTCTTGAACAAATCAAGGCTGCAGTGACTAGTAGCGTCTGTGGTGTAATAGTTAAGCTCTTCATGGTTTCATGTTGCAGATGTGAGTTTGAATCTCTATTTAGGAAATTTTTTATCGAGTGTCTCCATCTGCTGGAATGTTGCATCCTTCTCGGCTTTGCAAGCTAAGTCAAAGTAACCATCCTTCTGAGTGGATCTAAATTGGGTTGATGGGGGCTTAAAACATTAAAATTTAGATGAAGTAGCCTGCCTCCTAAATGATCGAAATTGGGTCAATAGGGGCTTAAAACATTAAAATTTGTAAAACTAAAACAAGATTAGAGGGGCCGATGGGATGACAAAAGTTTTTAGAAAGATAGTCTTGGTAGTACTAATACTAATATCCTAGATCTGTATGATATTTTTTTCTCTCTTACACAGCACAATACTTTATCATCATGCCCAGATATATACCCTTTTAAATTGAACTATGCATTTGTAGAGCATCGTGTTACTTTTATATTTTTAAACTTTTTTTTCTTCCTTATATCTTCTTTAAAATATTGTAGCACTTTCAACATATTTTGCACTGACATTATCTTGGGCCAGAATTTATTGGACAGTATTTTTCTTATCAGTTTTTCATTTAAAATATTGTAATAAATTTGTTCGATTTTTTTAATAGTTTGTCTCAAGATAGTGCTAAGCTTTACTACTGTGAAACTTTGTAAAGCGCAATTGAGTTTTAAAAAAATCTAAATTTGATTTAAGAGCTGAAAACACCCTAGATTTTTATTTCTTTTTTTATTTTTTCTAATTAACAAAAAAATGTTTTTAAAGTCAGCACATGACTCTTTTACAACAGTAGTTCTTATAGATCTTTGCATAGTTTTTCACTCTCTAAGGTTGCCGTGCTAGGTTTATGATCTTACAATAAATGTCTTGTCAAGTGATGTTTTGTTGATAAGGCTATGCAGGGAGCGTGCTTTAGTTGTTAGTCAGCATGCTGGTGGGTCAGTTATGTTTGTTATGCGAGGTTTGTGTCTGTTATTATGCCTGTCAGTAGCATGCGTTTATGTATGTAAGCATGTAAATTGTGTACACACTCGTGTATTTCCATTCGGAATGTTTTTTGCCTGCATTTTTTAAAGACAAATTTCTTTACTTTACCCAGGTGGGAATAGGTACCAAGTTATAGTTAACAAAAGGTCTTGTCAGTTTGTTAGTGATTGAGTGCTTAATTGGTTGCTTGCAGTGTGCGTCCCGGGAAGCTGAGAATGTTTCTGAGTGTTCTATCTAGGGTCTGCTGGGGTAATAACATTTATAAAACACATAGAGCATGCCTTTGAGCATGGATATGACCTGTATAAATGCAATTATTATAAATATTATTATTATTATTTATGTGTACTTATGTATTTTTAGAAACTTGGATGATTCATATGATAGGGAAGTATATCATGGAGTGGAAGAAAAGTAGCCGGAGAGAAGGAAGGGGGAGAGAACAATGGAGAGGGAGGGAGAGAGAGAAGGAGAGATGAGTTAAGGATGAGGAGAAAAAGGAATAATTAAAAGTTTTATTTATTTCCTAAATCAGTTATGTACGTCAACTGTCCAGATGGTCACTAGAAATACAGGTGAAGATTGTATTGCAGCAGAAATAAGTAGTGTAAAACACTCCCTACTCAAACAAGCATCTCAGTTGTTACAGAGAACTAGACCAAACACCTAATACCCCAGCTAATGACAGCACAACGCAATGGTTGGAGAGGAACTACACACTCTCTCCACCGTAGCAAACACCACCCTCATTCTGGAGAATATGGCCACTCCCTCCTCCTCCTCTTTCTCTTCCTCCTCCTCAATATCTTGTTACCCAGCTTTATCCATGTAATTTATATCTTTAGCTCAGGGTGTTAAACATTTTCCGTCTGACCAGAGTTGTGCGACGTTTTGTTTTGAAATTAGTTTTTTGTTGTTGTAATTGTCTGGGTGTGTGCGTGTTTGGGTACACATGTGCTTGTATTGTGCTAAAGTTAACGTTTGTGTTTGAGGGTGCCACTGCCTGGTCCTACTTATTTTTAATTCTTTGTTTTTTTTATTTGTAATATTTTTATTGATCCAGTGGATATACAAGTTTTATTCTGTGGTTATGAATTGTGCATACTCAAGTAAGCAAGTACACCTGTTCATGTGTTCGTTTGTATGTTTACAGATGTAAGAATGTGTCACTTACTATTGTTGTAAACTTTTCATATGAAATTTTCAGGTTGCTTGCTATAAATACAAATACATTTAACAATAAGTTACGTGATAACTGTGGTGCTCACTCTTTTTGAGATGTCAAGGTAACGATAATGTATTCATATGTTTTTTGTATTTTTCTTATCTCCAGAACTGGCCAAAGATGCAGAGGGCGGAGCATTCCGAGGTGGGGCCATCACCCCCGACGGTTACATAGACGAAGATTTTGAAAAGGAGCTGGGGACTCCGTCGGTACGTTGGATTTAGTTTTGTATGTCTTTCACTTTTGTGAGATGATGACCAAGAAGTGAATCTTCTTGTTACTTTTCCATACAGAGTGTTATGGGCAGAGGATGCCACTGGAAGGTCCTTCTTGTGAACTCAATGATACAGTTCAAGAAACTAAATTACATTAAAAAAAAATAAGACTTTTGTAGTAACGTGATTACACAATTAAATTTTCTGTCACATGTTTTTGTTGTTGTTATTTGCATCCGACTACTGTTGAAAAAATCCCTTAAAATCAATAAAGTTTTTTACAGAAAAGGGTACAAATATTGATTCTTTTGCTAACAACAATTAAAAAAAGGTGGTCGAACAAGCTTGTTTTTTTCTTTCTTCTACAGTCTGATGTATCTTTTCTTTCTCTTAAATGGCTGTCTTTGTGTCAGTTTAATTCTGTTCTACTCGGACTCCTTCTGTTGATCAAATTTTGCGCCACTGTTACTGTACAGGTTTCTGTTCCTTAATGTAGGCTACAATAGAGAAGCAGAGTTCCCGGATTGTTCTTCTTGGTGTTTGCTGTTACTATTTTTGGACTACACCTGTTGATGAGTGTGATTGCCTTACTTTTTAAATATTGACTAGATCTAGATGCTATGAAGATTTGTGGAGGGCTGAGAAGATATTGAGAAGTCTTCTTACAGCTCCTCTGTGAATAAGGCTAAAATGAAATGGAATGGAAGAGCATAAAGTTGAACATGTCCAAGATGACTTCCCATTGTCGAGGAGGAAAGTAGTCATATTAGACAGGTGGTCCTCTTGGACAGTGCCATTGTAATATTGAAAAAAACACCCAAAAACCCGCAAAGGGGGGG